ATATAGTTAAAAGTACTTACTTTCATATCTAGCTCTTGTTGCCTCATCTTGACCTTCCCCCACTACATAGGTTGACGCTCCTATGGTGAAATCAGAGCGACAGAGAAAATGGAACTCGGCCACCCTTTTGGCTCCGAAAGTACAGAGTAGAGTGATGTCACTTAGTGGTGGCATCTCACTCAACAAACTTACCAAATCCTCTGTCGTAGCTATCCTTCTCGGAGTGGCAGGTCCACTTGGCAACAGCATCCAGTTAGGCATCCCGTACGTTAAGAGAACCGGAGTGTCGGGAGGGAGCAAGTACCATTCCCGGACGGTTGCATCAATCACCGGAAAAGACTCAGGGGAATCCATGTACATCGTAAACCCGAAATCATCATGCTTTGGGACAAAGTACCACTGTTCTTGAACGTTCTTCTTCCACTCTCCATGCCAGATTCTGAAAACACGACCCATTCCTGTTCAACAAAGTGAAGTTGCTATCAGTTCAACATAGTTAAGTTGCTATCAGGGGGAGAAACAAAGTGAAAAGGTGAAGAACCAATGATTGGAAACATGTAGTTAATGCTACGGAACATTAATAAACTTCTAACTTAACAGTTTCGATTTAACATAACTTTACACTTTTCTCTACATTTAAAGCAAGAAAAGAATGTTCTTTACCTTTTCAATTTGTTTCTCAAACTTTTTCCGTCTCCGAAGTAGCTTCTCGCAGTACTCACATTTATTTATGGAGAGAGCTCAAACCGTCTAACTCTAATTTATAAAGACATACAGCCTCTGGCTTAGCGGTGAGGGTTTCTCATTATTCTTAAAATAAAAAATATTTTTTGGAAATCTTCTGCTAGATTTTGTTAACAGTGGCGCCGTTTGCGTCAGAGATATGTTGTGGGGGGATAAAATTTCGATCTTACCGATGCACCTTAGGCTAATGTACACCAAATCTTGTTATTATCTTGCCAAATCTTTCTGCTGATTTCCTGTCAGAAGCGGAGAGAAGAAGGTCAACTCGGGTAGCGAAGATGTGTTCCGGGCAGGGTCTATTTGTCATTTCACCCTCGCCTCATTCACCACGTAAGCTCTCCTTTATACCTCTTTGGTATTTACCTAATTAGGCATTCTTCCTTGGTTTTTAAGCTAAATTGCCCAAACATTATTCTATTTTATTAAGTTTTGATTAATTTATGTTAGAGTAAATACAGATTAGACATGTTTTAAGAAATTTGAATAGTTTTTTTGAATTATAATTAAGTCAATTCGTATTTAGTATTTACCATATGTTTAGATGGTATTTGGTAAGATTGAACTTATTAGGGTCGAAATATATTCTTCCCGCATGAATATTGAGATAAAAGTGTCTGTAATGTTTACGTTAGGCTTTATAAGGCTTTTAAACTCATTTTCATATTGGGTAAAATGTCGTTTAGGCTTCATGAGGCTTTTAAGTAAGGCCCTTGTAATATTACGTGACGTGAAAAAAATCAAAGTTTTTGTCACACTTGTCATCATCATCAGAGGTCTACAAAGAGCAGTCTTATACATGCGACTAGCCAATTTAAGGTATGATTTTTAGTGTTTCTAATTGTTTCAAAAGAGACTGTAACATTTTATTAACTTTTTCCTGATATCAACGACATCTACTCTATTAAAATAGAGTCATTCTTTTTATCTAGTGATACAAGTTGTCATTTAAATTTGGACTCTTTTTAGAATGTTACAAATAATATAAGTCATATAATTGATTGAACCGTATTACTTAAATTAAACCAACACAATTAATGTAAAAAGATGACCATAATATAAATTACCTTCAAAATATGGCAGATATCTATGTGTATACCGAAAACACATATTTTCTCCTACAAATATGGAATGTTTAAAAAGAATATATATCATCCAAATATGGAATATGGAAATCTACTAATTATACTTAAATTAAACTAGTATTTATTTATGGAATATGGTTTTGGGATTCCTTTATTTTTTGAACAAATTATATAGTTTGGTTTTTGGGCTTAATATTAAGAAAAAACTCTAAAAACATTGAATAAACTTTTCACCTTAAAAGATCAAAAAATCAATTATTATTTTCAGACCCAAAAGATATTTAATATTTTTAACAAAACAAAATTATCTATTATTAATCATTTATTTAAATCATGTACTTTAAAACATGTTAATATATTTTTTTATTTTAAATAAAAATCACTTTGTTTTGATAAATTTCAATTGTAACTTTTAAATAATTTATTGTATTATTTTTTCTTAAATAATTTACTGGTTTAAAAAATGTAAAGCAAAACCAAAAACCAAATCTAAAAACTAAAATTCAAAACCAAAAGCTGAAAACACATATTATATTTTTTTTTTGCTTTGTTTATTTACAATATAAACTATTTCATTTTTTCAATTTGTTTTCATCTTTTCAGTTTTAAATTAGATGTTCGATTTTTTTAGATTTGTTTGTTGGTAATTATCAGTTCAAACTAACTCAGCGGGTTTAAAACTTAAAAACCCAAACCAAAAACTGAAAATGAAAAGTAGAAACATAAAAACTAAAAACCAAAATCTTAAAATAAAAAGTGAAACTAAAAACTAATGAAAAACAATCACCAGCACAAATTTTGGTGAACTGATTTTATAACAAAATATTCTTTAAATTAAAACAAAACCTAATTATATAAATTTTTAATCATAAAAAAATTTCGTTATTCTTTAATCATAACTTTTAAGCGCGGGTCAAAATCTAGTTATTCTTTAAAATAAAAGGTGATCTAGTAAAGTTGTTAAATACAAAAACCATCAGCAGTTCTGGACGATTAGTTACATAGCGGACAGTACAACTCTTATCTTGCTTCTTTAAATGTAATGAATCATAGCTATAATGTTTCCACAAAAACAAATGATTGTAAAAACTTTCATATTTGAAAGATATTCTACAAAATCTATCAAAATCAAACAGATCACAATCCATTATCCAGCCAACACATACACACACGCATACCCACATATACAGTATATGGTATGTATATGTATGTCAGACTGTCAGTAATAGTATGTGTGTGTTATGTATGACATAAATTGAAGTATGAGATATGATAGCTGTGAGATGGTGACGGGAGATGGGCCTTGTGGGCCCAGTATTCACGTGACAGGTGTGATGATAGTATAACGAGTTGGGGTCCATGGGCCTTAAGAAGACGTTTCAATCTCAACCGACCACCGACGACTGGACCTTGAGAATTGAGATCTCGATAATGACCTAACCCACTCAACTCACTGACACGTCCCGTCGTTTAGCCAACACGTCATATGTATTGGAGTCACCCAAAATAGTATTTTATTGATATTTCCATTTTTCATTGTTTTATTAGATTTTTCTTTAGCTTTTTATAAGACCTTTTCTATAGCTTTCAAAGCTTAGCAAATTACCCATAACAAGAATTTAAATCAACCTCAATAGATGGATGTATAATAACAACACACGACCAACTAATATAATATGTGATGGAGAATGTTAGATAAAAATTTTAAAATAAAATATTAGACTTGTGACTTGTGTGGGACGGTACATATCGACGTATAGTAAAACGTGTTCGTGTTTAATATTGTTGTTTTGACGATGTCTTACGACGATAACGTGAGATTTCATGTTCGCTATGTATTCGTTGGTTCGATTTACACATTTCAGCGTAAAACAACTAAAGTAATAATTGATTATTAACATTACGATTTTTTGTTGGTTTACGCTCGTCGAAACAACGATTAGTAAACAAAGAGAATAAGATGATTTAGTGACTACCGACATTTTCTGTTATTTTATCACTCAACTCGTAACAAAACAAACAGTAACATATATTTCATTGCTATTGCTCGTCACTGTCGTTGATAACTACAAAACAAGCACTATAAATCAATAGGTCGCTTACTATCTATTGCTCACCACTGTATCTGTCTTGCATCGATATCGCCAATAGTAACAAAACTAACAGCATATATACGTGACATATGAGCGATGACCACTGTGTTACATGTCGCTATCGTCGTGTTTGCAGTTTGCATTTTGCACCCGACATTTGCTTACCCACTTTAAGTGGTCCTATTTGCTCTTTCCACTAAATACCGGTCAGTTTTCATAATTTCTGAAAATATTCGTACATCATCCAAATGTTCACAATATGAAACCATGAGATATTTCAACAGGGGGTAGGTTCAAATTCAGTCGTATGTGAACAATGATTTTGAATTTACAGTTTCTCAAAGAGCAAATCAGTAAAACAATATATAAGTTAGCTGAATCAGTTTCAGTTTATCCTCCATTTGACTTGACTCTTGGGTATAAAATGCAAATACGGCTTAAACTAGTTCTTATTTTAGTTTTTTCACATTTTGATATTAAACATTTGTGGTTGTTTTGAAAAACATAAAGATGCTAACCTTGTTTTATATAACATAGGCTTTTTATTATTAGATGTATTTTGTAATGTACAAATTGTTGAGTTTGATCACAATTAAACTAGTTATGATCTTAAGAGACATGCTTTGCTGGAAATAGTAGAGGCCTTGAGATTTCTTGATTGCCAAATAATTCATGGTATTATTTTAAATACTAAACACTTGCAAACAAAATTAGATACTACAAGATATATTGGAAAATGCATGTATGGTTATGGAATACCATGTGGTGCTTCGTTTTTGTTTATATATTCACGTCTCGTGGAGCAAATACTGAAATATAGTCTAAAATCCATTAAATTATGAGCAGAGGTAGGAGTGGAAGTTTGGATTAGGAATTTCAAAATCTTGAATATTTTAATATAAGGATTTAGTATTTATTTGAGTATTTCTACACTTCGGATCGAGTTTGAGTATTTTTAGTTTGGATCTGGATGCAACTTTGTTAATACACAAAATAAATGTTTGATATGTATTTTATGTAAATAATAAATCACTTTATCCAAAACTATATATATATATATAATCTGATTTTAAGTCATGTGTAACATTTATATAAATATTCTAAAAAAGGAGAGAAAATAAACTAAATATATATGGTTTAGTATATATATGTTCGCTTATTTTTGGATATCCATTTGGGTTTAGATATTAACCGTTCAGTTTCAGATATTTGATCTCTTTTGATTTAGTATTTATTCAGATATTTTGTTAGTTCTGTTTGGATTTGAGTTTACGTTTTTCGGGTCGGGTTCAGATACAGATTCAAAATACTGATCTTAAATGGAGGGTTTTTTATAAAGAAAAATATGAACCGAAAATCCCAAATTTTTAAAAATGAAGAAAACTAAACGCAGTTTTATTAAGGCCAGTCTCAAATACTCAAATACTCAAAACTATGGACGGTAAATAAATATAATTAAATAATATCATACAAAAATAATTGCTATATTTAATTTGACAAGCTGACAAATCATTGCGATTGCATTAGACGTACCAGATTTGTACACATTACTTCTAAATTCGCATACTCAAATAGTTTATTACTCTTATAAGAATACAGTGACGTGGCAGAATAAGAACCGCTGGAACAGGCTACAGAGCTCTTTAAATCAGCAGATAAAGCGGGGTGGCCGACAAGTCGACAATCAAATATATGTGGACATCATCTCTTCCCTTTCTCAGCCCTCCACGTGTCGTCTTATCCTTATCAACTGCCTAGATTCAAAAAATCTTGGCCTACTATTATTAGGGTAAATTGTTATGCAACCAACCAAACAAAGAATAAAAGTCTAAATCCGTATATCGAGTTATTTTCAACGACCATGTTAATTGTTAGAGGTCATATGTGCACAATAATACAAACATTTTTTCTTTCTGAAAAAGGCTTAATACAAACAGATTTATCTTTCTAATTTAAGATTGGATTGTTTTAAAAACTCTGGTCGTTTTAAAAATTAGTATAAATTAATAAACTTTAGAAAAGGAAAACCTAAAAACATTAAACATGTATAAGTAAAAAGACATATCGATAAAAGTATACAATTTTGTAATAATTTATTTTCATCAAATTAGTGTATTGTTCTTATAATTTTATTCTCTTGCTTTGACAATATAAACGAAATTTTATTACCTAATTTTTCTGTAAAAAATTACGAATCGTTTGGTATATTCTTCAATGGTACATATACGTAGACTATATTTCATACGATTCATGTATAACATATAAAAATTGTGACGCTCTAAGTACTTTGTAATTGCCTAATTCTGTAACTATGCAATTCTTTGGAATATAACTCACTATTAATTAAAATTTGATTTTGAATATTTGATGAGTTTGATTGGCAGTGCAAAACTATGGTAAGACCGCATAATAATTTTATATAGATGCAAGTACAATGATATAATATTTCAGTATCATTATTTCGACCCTGGGAAACAAAAACCGATGTAAGGTAAAAATGCACTCACTGCTGCAGTATTTTTTTAGGTTCGAAATCGAAATAACTATCAATCAAAATCAACACTAATCTCTGCGGCCGGTATCTATCGTGAAAATAAATTGATATTAAGGTTTAGAATGGAAACATTTTATGAAGCAAATAATTAGCTGTCCGACTGTTATATCACTATATATGAGAGTTGTTAAAATCACTATTCAATACATTTGAAAAGCGATACGAACGTTTTAATTATATTTCACTGTTCAAACCTTAACATGCAACAACAAATTCAGACGCAATCCTTAAGTTAGGTGTTACTTTTCTTGTGGATGAAGCAACGGATTACACCTTTTTTACATTGCCTCCACTACATTCCCAATACAAAAGTATCTGAAAACAATGCAATTGATTCATCAAAAGCGCCCTACGTGGACTTAGATTTCCAAAAGAAACTTCTCGTGAAAACATCTATTTATGTTATGTTTCAATTTCACACGCAAAGTAAATTCCATTATTAATCCTCTATTTACATGTTTACAACTCATGTTGAATTGTTTATACATCAGAAGTGATTCTCGCATATGTTCAAGAAACATAGTAGTTCAGTGCGATCTATATTGTACGTCGACTGTATATATGTCCCAAAATCAACCCATTTCAAATTATCATTTCATTAGTAACTAATTCAGGTTTTATTATAATTATTTCACCGAAAAATATATCTAAAAAAGCTCTGGAAATACTTTGATTTTTATTTTACATTGCTGGTTTAAGTACATTTTCTTATTATATTCGTTCGAAGCTATATACCTCTTACAAGTTCCAAGTAATACTACATTCTCCATAACAAAATGTTTTTAAACGAGTGAATCTGTATCAAACCAAAACCGTAGCAAATTATTAAACGTACAATATGTTAGTATAATTTATACTACTAATTAATCTTTCGGTAGTAGTATCTAAGCATTTCCAAAACAATTGCATTAACATTTTCTTAAGAAAAGATTGAGATTTGATGTGAAAATAAGAGATGTACAAGCACTAATTCATCAATCATTGGACCACTGATGCGACTCTGTTGAACAAATAACAAAATTGTTTCGATGCGAAAGATATTATTAATATACGTGCTATTTGATGGGGGCCATTTTTTGGATTTGGAGCTAACTTCTAAATACATCCACTCGAAGGGATTGTGAAATATACAAAATACCATAAGGGTAAAATCGAAATTTCGGACAGAAACTGCCTGTTCAGACATATGAAAGATATGTTTGTGTCAGAGTTTCAGAAGTCCTTCCCCATGCTTACTACTTCTCTCTTCTCTCTCTAAACCTCCCAAATTCTACTTCTTACGTGGTTGTAAAACTTCTCTCAACCTCTCTTTGAAATGCAAGATATTCATGATTACTCCATGACCGGAGGCGGAGGCAGCGGAGGAAGCACAGGGAGGTTTTACGGCGGAGGAATCGGCGGCGGCGGCGGAGGAGGAGGAGGAGGAGACAGGAGGATGAGAGCGCATCAGAACAACATCCTCAACCACCACCAATCTCTCAAGTGTCCTCGTTGCAACTCTCTTAACACAAAGTTCTGTTACTACAACAACTACAACCTCTCTCAGCCTCGACACTTTTGCAAAAACTGCCGCCGTTACTGGACCAAAGGCGGCGTCCTCCGTAACGTCCCCGTCGGAGGTGGTTGCCGGAAAGCCAAAAGATCGAAGTCTAAGCACCCTCCGCCGTCGTCTCCTTCCTCCGCCGACAAACCAACGGCTCAAGACGCCGAGGAGAAATCAAGTAGCAGCGAGAGCTCTTCTCTTACCGCCTCCAACTCCACCGTCGCCGCCGCAGCCACCGCGAAGGTTGCCTCTTCGGGTGTTATGGACACTACTGATATGCCTAATCTCAAACAGTACGGAAACGGGATCGAATGGTCGACTTTGCTCGGACAGGGCTCATCGGACGGTGGAGTTTTCTCGGAGATCGGCGGTTTTACACCGTCGACGGTTGAAACGACGCCGTTTGGATTCGGGGGTAGTTCCGTAAATCAACAGTGTATAGCTGATCATCTGAAGTTGGAAGGTAGTAACACTTTACCTCAGCAGTTTGGAGATCCAACGGCTCAGGTTGATCCAAACATGGGATTTGAACCGTTGGATTGGGGAAGTGGTGGAGGAGATCAAACACTCTTTGATCTAACGAGTTCAGTTGATCATGCATACTGGAGTCAAAGTCAATGGACGACGTCGTCTGATCAAGATCAGAATGGTCTCTACCTACCTTAATTCTCACAGTTTCTTCTCCTTAACCAAAAAAAAAATATATTATACACATAAGGTAAAGTTTGATGAAGTGTTGTTTTTTTTTAAATATATTTTGTTTTACGTAATGGGTTGAAAACTGGATTTATTATAATATATATATGACTGCTTGTAAATTTTTTTCCTCCAAATATAAAATTTACCTCTTGTTTCCTAGTTTTTGGAATATCCCAAGAGTGCAGATTTATGTGGCATGGTTTTATTTTTGGCTTCGGTTTACTTATCGTTGTATATTTGATAAGATTTTAAATTTTTCTGTGATTTTGTTTTTCTGCTGTTGTTGTTTAATAATATTATATCTTGCTTGGGCATACAAAAACTTATCTTCAGCTTCATTAGTTGGTTATGCGTTTTGTTTGTTTAGTTTATAATCAGCCGTTTAAGAGTGTGATCACTGATCAGGTTCAGAGAGTACCTATGCTATGAAAACTCGATATTATATCTTATCTCGGAAACCTACAATATAGAATGTTAAAGAATCGAATGAAAACAACTATATATTCCCCATCATAGTTCACACTAGGTAATTGAAAAATGAAGACTGCATGATTTACCATTATAGTATTATTTCTTTACTATTAGACTACTAATAAAAAAAATCAATTCAAATGAGTGATCTTAGGTTTGTGTTGATGTAAAGAATATTGTTTTTTTTTTCTATCAATGGCGAATAGAAGAAACTAGTGTAGAGGAATTGTACGGACAAACGAGAGAGCCGTGCCGTCGCGTAAAAACTATGCTTATTAGCAAACAGACGACGACTGGGTATTGCGCATGGGACCCACGTGTTAGTGCCTAGTCTCATGCGCGACATGCATTCCACGTGGCTAGACCAGGTCCCACTAAACGTGTCTTAAATGTCAATGGCTGACGTAGTTGTATCAATGGTCGGCTCGTCGTTTTCGCCAACTCCAATCCTTGCAAGAACTTCAAAGATCTAAGCCGAGAGAGAGAGAGATATAACGAGTACGGATTCTGATCCTCTGGTGCTTTAAATTAGAAACCAGAATTATGGGCCGTTGGATGGGTGAGAACTCTTGAAACGCGTATAGGCCGTGAGATAGGAATGGTGACAGCGCGAATCAAGGGTGATGATGATGAGTGGGGTCCATATTAGGTAGGAGGTAGTCATTGTAAGGAAACACTTGAAGGAGAGTAGGTCCAGTAAGGCATGTGCTCGTATAAGTTAATAGAATCTCATACAAATCACACACGGGAGAGTTTGGTTGGGCGGTTGGGAGAGTTAGAGATTGTCTGTGGGTTGGTGTATGACTCCACCATGTTCCCTTAATCATTTCGTTTAACACTTTCATGATTTCTACTTGTAATTTCTTCATCCATCGACTCATTTTGACAAAATTAGAGGATCAATTCATACGTAAAACATGTTCCCTAATACATTTTCCTCTCAACGTGTGAAAGGTTCCTTTAACCCATAACGTAAATCTTGGTGACATATAGAAGATTTATATAAATGATGGTTACACAAGTTTTGGTGTATACAATAATGATGGATACAAAGACTTAATACGTGGGGAGTCGTGTGACGTGTTTAAGGATAAATACAAGCAGTTGCTCTAGTTTAACTTGTCTTCTGGATTTATGCAAGTGTAAACCAACAGTGTTTTGTTTTTTCATCTGAAGATTCAACGTCGTGAGTTTTCTATTCCTTTTTGTAACATTTTTCTTTATTAATTCAAACGATATATAGTTTATGTACTCATTAACAGAAACACGTCGAAATATGTATAAAATACATGAACACACTAACAAAGTAACATAACAAGTATTAGAAGGAACATTAGCTTTATGTTTAATCATGCGAGACTGTAAAGAATTTTTTAAAAAATCTAAACTACTTTTCAAACCCGAACGACCTATTTCAGCTCAAAAAAGTAATACTCCATCTCCTTCTTATAGAAAAACATTTATGATTTACAATTAATTCGGAGCATTTAAGATATTATCACGACGTAACTTATTAGAAAAGTTAACTAATTTTCAAACCCTAACGACCTCCTGACCCAGATAAGGCGCGGACCCGATTCGGATCCGAATTATACCCGATTGATTTTTTTGAAGGTATCGAGCAATCACAAGTGCATATTACCGAGGAGCCGTAGGAGCATTACTTGTCTACGACGTCACGAGACATGTAACCCTTCGAGAACGTTGAAAGATAGTTAAAGGAGCTAAAAGATCACACGGATTCAAATAACGTCATCATGTAACATGTTCGTTGGTAACAAAACGGATCCTACGTCACCTACGAGCCGTTTCAACAGAAGCCGCAAGGCTTTCGCTACAGTTAAAATAGTTTGGTTGCTGCTCGGAACTGAGCTGTTGATTTGTGATAAGTAAAAGAAAGTTCATGTTCATTTATTTGTAAAAATCATTACCCTCAAAAAAGTATACTCAATATCAGAATGTGTTTTATTATCTGGAGACCAAACAAAGAGCATGAGAAGCACCAATAGAAACTGAGATAACCTTGTGAGGTCGAAGCTCATCTTCTTCGGTTAAGAAATTGACTTGAACCGGGGAAGTTTGGATCTCAGGGAGTCCTGGAACTCCTAACTGAAAATCTTTAGCATTTCCCCACATCCAAAGTTCACCTCCATCTACCGACAAAAACCAAATCCCATGTTTTTAACATGTTTCACCAATATCAAGTAAACATTACTTTTTTTTTTTACCTGTTATCGCTGCAGAAGAGGAACCTCCACAAGCTATAAAGACAATCTTTTTATCAGCTAATGCTTCGATTTCCGTAGGTACTTTCTGGTTCCGTAGTGAAGCATTACCTAACTGTCCGTGGCCACCGTGTCCCCACGAGAGTACTTTACCTTCCTCTGTTACCACACCAAAGTTTCAACTCAAAAATTGTATAAAAGAAAAGACCAAAGAGTTGTTCAGTTTGCAGAAGAGTTGTTTACCGGTTAATGCAAGAGAGTGATAACCACCACAAGCAATCTGAGTTATACAAACACCTTCTAAACTAGGTACTGGCATTGGTTCCCAACCTCCCAAGTTATCACCGCGTCCCAGCTCATAATTTGAGTTTGCTGATACATAAAAAGATAACAATGACTAACTAATCCATTTGAGCAGAAACTTAAGGGTAGAATGATTTTTTTTACCTCCCCAATTCCATAGTTGTCCCTCTTGTGTAAGCGCCATTGTGAAAAAACCACCACATGAGACAGAAGCTACGGGGACTGTTAAAGCTTTGACTTTTGAAGGAACACTAAGCCCACCTCCTTCGTTTGGTCCTCGACCTGGCCCGAGTCCTAGCCTCCCGTCTCCTTCCTCCCTACCCCACATATATAGCTCCCCTAATACATCATATAGAGTATCTATTACTACTGCTATGACAATTGTCCAACTTCAATTAAGTTCTTGAAGTTGCAAGAAGAGAAACCTGATTCGGTAATAGCAGCGGTATGAGTTCCGCTGGTTGCAATGGCAGAGATTTTACAGTCCCAAGAGCCTTCAACACGTCGAGGGACGAGTTCTCTAGTGTAAACCGAATGTCCAAGCGCACCAAATCCACCATAACCCCTGAGAACTTCATTTTTAATATATCAAACCATCACACGCAGAAACACACACACGATCAAAACAGAACAGCTAATCTAGTTTCCATTGTCTCAATTCCCAAAGTTCTCTTTATCATCAACTATAATTCAAAACTCAAAACTCTAAACCAAGATTTAAAAGATTCAAACTTTAATCTATCTTATAAAGACATCACCTTTACTTGTCAAAAAAAAAATGAACTTCATTTTTGAATTTATCGAACCATCACATTATACAAAAAAAGCAAAAGATCAAACAGAACAGCTAATCTAGTTGCCACTGTCTCAATTCAAAACTCAAACCAAGATTAAAAAGATTAAAACTTTAATCCATATTACCAAGTAAAGACATCTCCTTTACATGTCAAAGCCACAGAATGCAACCCACCGAGAGCAACACAACGAACCAAACCCTCCTCGAAAAGAGGGTTTAACTTGGGTACGAAGACAGAGTCCTCTTTCCCAAACCCTAACCTCCCTCCATCTCCTTTCCCCCAAATCCAAAGATCTCCATCTACCGTCAAACCCGAGTGAAACAACCCGCAAGAGATCCCAACCCGAAAACCACCCGACCCGTTAACGTCCTCGATTCTTCCGGGGGTTTGTGCGAGAGAGAAGGGTTGATCGGAGCGGAGGAGAAGGTTAGCGACGGGAGAGGGATACATTCGAATCTCCTCGATCCCGCCGCCGAGTTGACCCGACGCGCCACGTCCCCACGAGAGGAGTTGGAGGGTTGTCTTGGAGTTCGAGTTGAGCTCTGGGCTTGTGTAGAGTGTTGGTACTTTGGTGGATCCGGCGCGTGGTTTTTGAGTGTTTCGGGTTGAGGAGAAGCGGCGCGTGACGCTACGTAGGCGGTGGCTTAACGTTGCCATTTTGTTTTTCTTCACTACCGAACCACACCGGTTCTTGGTTGGGGTTTAAGACATTTGCACAGAACTATCACATAACTTAATGGAACGACAGCGTTTTTAGTTTCGGTTAGGGCCCTATATTTATTATTTCTTTCAGATAAGACCCGGTGTTATTATATTGTTGAACTATGGACATGGATTTTAGGACTTTCTACAAAGGGAAAAAGTTTTTTTTTTTTTCCTAAAGTTGGGGTTAGATTGAAGTTCAGACTAATCCTAAAGAGTAGTACAGCCCACAATATATCCTCTCTCTGGGTTTTCTAATAGGTTAAAAACATTAGTCAATATCCGCGTAACCACAAATCAGGTTAATCTAAGTTGCAACAGATTCAAAATTCAGGTTCTTTAGGGATAACCTGACCACTGACTCGTGGTTACAAAAGGAAAAAGTTTCTTAGGTTTGATAGATAAGAAGTATTATAATGAGATTATGTTAAGCTGCAGTGTGCCTCAATGATCTAAACCAAAGTCGCATTACATGAGAAGACAGAGAGATATCTCACTTCTGGTCCTTGCATTTTCAATTTTGTTATTTTACGCATGACTGAGGTTGTAAGAGTTCATGGCTAAATTGGAGAGTGAACTTGTTTGAGCTTGCGAGAGTTCATGACTAAAATGGAGAGTTAACTTGTTTTAGGATGTTTGTTCAAAAAAAAAAACTTGTTATAGGATGTAAGAGTTCATGGCTAAATCTAACATTATATATTATCTGTATTTTGTATTTTTGTTATTTAAGGCATGATTGACATGGTGGCATAAGATGGAGAGTGGAAGAGTTCATGGCTAAATCTAACATTTTATAGATTATTTGTCCTTTAAAAGGGTTTCTATTACTCAGAAACAGAGTAGTACAAAAGAATCTCATAAAGACTTTTGGAGTGTTTCTCCCTTATTAGAATCTACAACACTGAAACCCTAAAGCAATTGGCTTTTGTTTCTTGGGAGACCAGTCATCTGTTTTAGGCATCTGGACAGGGCTCCCCATCCACTCAACTCCCAATCTGCATAGATTTTCAACAAATTTATTAGTTCAGAGACCCTAATATCCAAAACAAGACAAACAAAAATTAAACCTGTAACCCTTTTGTGGCTAGTTAGACTCACATGGGAAATGCAAAGGACCCCCTTCTTTCGTCTGAGTGATTAGACCCACTAGATTTATCAGAGGCATCAACTTCCTCTTCTTCCTCGTTCTTCTGCAACAACATAAGTAAATAAGCAATTCCACAAGTTTGAAACTGAAACATCATAAGAGACATTACCTGATCATGAACATCACATGAAACATCTTTAGTTTCTTGGCATGTAGTCTTATCCTCCTGATCTTGTTCTGTTTCTTCAATCTCCGGCGAGTTAACCTTCTCTGTTTTTACTTCCCCTTGATCTCCATACATAAGCTGTTCTTTGAAAAAAACAAGAACATAGAGTTAGAGTTTGTGTTAGACCTAAACTTGATGCGTTTTAAAGATTTTCAAATATATTTTTTAAAATTCTATTTATAATATAAGTTTGAAACTGCACCAGTTGAAGAACGAACCTTACGATTCACTGTCCTCGGAGACTTTTCTGAGCACAACTCCACCTCCTTCCTCTTTTCTTTCCCCTCTTTAACAACGTCAAAACCTCCATCTTCACGGTCAAAACAGAAGACAATGAAGCCAGGTTCGTCAGATGTCGTTGGCTGCTGCTGCAAGCTCAACCGCCGGGTCTGAGACGCCGACGTGGGAGAAACACTGCTGCTTCTTAGATGATGATGACGTGTCCCTGGTGGGCTTAGACTGAGTTTCCTCTCTGATCTCTTCTTCTTACTCTTCATCTTCCTCTTTGTTCTCTTGAACGTTACATTGTTGTTATTAACTGTGTTTCCGGTATTACTAATTCCATCTTCATCTACGTCTGATATGTATATAATCAGTAAAATAACAAAAATATAAAAATAACAATTATTATAGAATAGAGGAAGACCTATAGGAATCTTGGAAGCCAAGAAACAGGTAGCCCAATCTTTGACTCTCCAGGTGACAAGTTTTTGTATTGTCCATTGCGAAGCCATAACTGATTTTTTGTGTAAGAATAACTTTTCTTGGATCTTTTTCCTGGAGAAAACTGTTAAACTTTGATGTGTGTTTTGCCTTTTTTAAGAACAAAAATTTCCGAAGGGCAGTGAAGAAATAAAGAGGGTTTTAATGAGGGAGAAGAATGATTTGAAATTTGAAAAAAAAATATATTGGAAGACATGACATAGATAGATTGCCATGAATTAGGGAAGGGGGTTACATATGTAACACATGAATGCATTTAATATTATTGGAAGAAAAAGAAATAACTTGTTTTCTGAAATTGTAATAATTGGACAGTAAATGCTATGATATTTAATAAACACTGCTGAATGAAATTCAGTTTCTCATTTTAAATTTGTGAATTTATTTACTTCAATTTTCGTGTGACAGAAAAAAAACGGCATAACCCTAGACTCTAGAGTTGGCAAATGAGTTTTGAAGTTTTGAATCCCTGGGGATATTCATGAGCTTGGATTTGAAGCCCATTTAACTGGACCTACAACCGGCCACATAATTTTACAAAAAGGGTGCGAGACTGGAACGGTTAAAACTCAGAATGAAGAAGCCCATTAAAAGCACAAAAGTCCACTGTGTTTGTTGTTGGTTTAGGATTTAAAAGCTTGTTAATTGTTAAATTGTTATAAAAATATCTCAGTTAAACATAAAATGTATTTGATGTCAACTTAAACTAGGCATAATATCATATTAGTTATTATATTTTCTTGAGAATTAAAATAATATAAGAAAAATAATCTAATAAAAAGCTTTGTTAAGTTTAAATGAATGAAATTTTCAATTTATGAAAATATAAATAGAATAATTCATTAATTAGTTAATTTTATATAAAAAGAACTTATAAAGCAGTATCTTAACCCTTAAAAATAGTTATACTTGTTTTAAAATGTGTTGCATAAATGAATTGAGTGTTTTGCCCAAACCATTAAAAATAAGATAAATAAAAAAGTTATTAAAAATTAGGAATTAATAATTGATATTGTTTGGATACAAGATTAATTATTGTGTTTGTTTGAAAACACATTTAGTAGTAAAATATGAATTAATTTGGATGAGTTTAATTATATAGTAGAAGAATGTATTTAATTTAAAAACTTACAAAAAAAATGTTGGATACATAGGAAGAATTTTGTTCTAACAAGATACATTGTTATTGACCAAAAAGTCATCAGTTACTCAGCATTTTAGTTATTCCTTGTTTGTGATATAAAATTGCCGATCAGTAAGATAGAAATCACATAGTTTACATGAATTTGTTTAAGTTGCTGACAAAAAAAGTAAGATATAGATCACATAAAATGATTTTCATCGCCATTTTTGGTGAATGACTGGTAATATTTGATCTGGTTGAATTTCTCAGATTGCCCCCAAGAGGTGGGAATAGGGGTTCTACAAGTTTTGGAGTTTTATATAAATAAGCTACTTTTTTAAACTCAATATAAATAAATAAGCTACTTAGGCTTAAAAATTTCAGAGTTTTTTTTTTGTCAACGTTCTCAATAGATTGATATCATATTTGTGAATAAAAACTTGACTAAGAATAAGAAGATTTTTTTTCTTGCATTTTCAATTATATGTGTGACATGCAACACTGATATTGACCTGAAATTAGTAGTAGTATCTCTTAGGAATTATTCACAACAAGAATAGCAAAGCAATCAAACATCAGTTTGTTTGTTAAATCTGATAGTGATCAAGGTTCGATTACCTCCTTAAGTTATGGATGTCCTTGCTCCTATTTATCACCATTCTATTACAAATATACTGCTGTCTCCTCTAAATTTATTCGCTTAATTACTCCAACTGTGAAATTATATATCCAACATTGCAACATAAAGATGTAGGCATTTTTCCGACATCAAGATGTAGACCTTTATTGACTAAAAAGGATGTTAACCTATAGTAAACTGGTTGACCAAAAAAAAAACCCATAGTAAACTGGTTAAAAACTTGTTTCCTCTACAAACATATCGTCCTTTCATCTTTCAAATTCCATCCCATATAGAAACAATATCCCGAGAAGACTTTAGGATTATAATATGGTTATAATGTCTTGTAATACATTCTTCTCTTGACTATTTAGTGAAGTTTAGAAATAAAATAACTGAATAAATTTTCTGATATTTATACGCTGTCAAATCAGTATGTGTTTAAGTGTAATAACATTAAAACGAGTTATGTACATATACTCATATCTTATGACTAATTAAGGCATATGTAGTTATGTATTTATAGTTTAAACTGATATTATAATTACAAACTAACATTTTCTTAAGAAAATATTAGTAGTTTTAGTGATAATATATAGTATCCCCCCCCTCCAATAAAGTCTTACTGATTCGCGAATGAATTGCATAGTACTTTACTTTAGCATATTTAGAGTTTAATGATAGTAGAATAACACTAATACTTTCTAGAAGATAAAATTAGTAGTTGCGGTTATATACAAGTTAATTTAAAGATGAAATCCTCTCCGCGAACTTAAAATCTAATCATCCAGTCTAATTCATATACTCATAAGTTATGACTAAGACATATGTACTATTCTAGATCATATTTACAGTTCAATACTTTCGTAGAATTATACTAATACTTTCGTGGTGGAAGATAAATAAGACTAGTTTTTAATGATAATAGTTTTATTGACTCGATGAATGAATTGTACAGTATAGTTGCACACCTTTCTTGACCATTGTATCCCAAGTATCAATACAATTTTTTTTTTTTTTTGATAATCCAGTATCGGACCACTAAATCTGATCGACTATCCCACCGGGCCTAAGTCCATGCTATTACAAGATTTTTAAGCCTCCACTTAAGGGTCTCTGGTTACGCGAAGTGATCTGGAAGGCGAGAACAGCCCATGTGAATACCCTCGTGGCCCGGACAAATGTTTACAGCTGTGGGGATTCGAAGCCAGAGTATTGAAACCGAAACTCTCTCAGCTGAACATCGTCCCACCACTATCCCACAATCTTTTACCCGAATCTCAATGTTCCTATTTCTGAAGAAACAAACTAATACGGACATGAGAATCAGAAGAGTATGAGCACTCATGAATGCAATTCCCTGTGACCATGACAATGAAATCTGACTATCACACCTGACATTGCACTACGATGACTCTGTGGTCTTAAGTAAAGAAAATAATAAAAACGTGCCATCTCAACCATTCCTTTTCAAAGTTATTTTTTTATTTCCTCTTTAGTCAATTACGTTTAAATCATATATACTTTATATGTGTCTCTTACTCTCTCTCTCCTCTCTTGTAAATTTGCCTATATAAGGCATCTCTATATACTATATAATCTGTGCGAGAGAAAGAGAGAGTAAAAAGAACACAGATGTTCTTGTTTTATGAATCCGATATAAAATGATAACACGTTCACGTGTTCCCCATCAAAAGAGTGTCTCAGTAAGTACAATCTTCAAATGTCTTTTGGTTTTGATCAAACGTTCTATTAAATTCTCTTAGTCATCTTTTCTAATCTCTTTTCTATTCAATTTCACTTAAGAGATTTAAAAAGTTTCTTCCTTTGATAGATCTCTCTAGCTAGAGTTTCCGTTAGGTTTTGTATAAAATAAATAAATAAAATCAAGAATCAAGAAGAAGCAGAAGAAGAAATGGTGAGAACACCATGTTGCAAAGAAGAAGGAATAAAGAAAGGAGCATGGACTCCTGAAGAGGATCAGAAGCTTATTGATTATCTTCAACTACATGGTGAAGGTGGATGGCGTACTCTCCCTGAAAAAGCTGGTAATCTTTCTTATTTTTCCTTATATCATATCGTTTAATTTTAGGAATTTAATATAATTAACTAACAGCTATCTTTTTTCTTAATTATTGACGTATTTTATAATGTGTGCACATTCTGTATATAGGACTGAAGAGATGTGGGAAGAGTTGTAGACTGAGATGGGCTAACTATCTAAGACCCGATATTAAGAGAGGAGAGTTTACTCCTGAAGAAGACAACACTATTATCAGGCTTCATGCTCTTAAGGGTAACAAGTAAGAAATTTTGTACTCTCCTTTCAGATTATATAATGTTTTAGGAGGTTTATTTTATTTCAAAATATAAAATGTTTTGAAAATTTAATGTATGTTTTGAAGTTTTAAAATTAATTTTAATTTTATTAAAAATTATTCAACCAATAAAATTTTACAGTTTTTTAATAATTGGTTGAATCATTATAAAATTATAATTTTAATAATGTTGTTAGAAGAATATAAATTTTTTAATCATTGTGCATTAAGCCAAAAACATCGATATATTATGAAATGAAAAGAATATTATATAATTCATCATTTTAATTTAGTACTTTTCAATGTTACTTTTTCCTTCTTTCCAATGTCACCTTGAGTACATATTATATAATATGTAAAACATATCGATCCATTTTCTTATTATTAGAAAAGAAAAACCATCAACATAGAGTTATCAGAAATCCAAACTAACTTGAAAAGTGGTCAAGTACTTAAAAAATCTTTTAAAGTTTATAGTTTCCGCACAACTTTTATAAAGATATTCAACTCTTTTTGGGATAAATTTATTCAATCTATTTGTGAAGTACAATACTACTAGGTGTTTTGCCCGCACTTGCGGGCATAATTCTCTTATAAATATTTATTAGTTGATATTTCATTAATTTAAAAATCAGCATAATAAATTATTATTTATGTTTTCAAAAAGTAAAAATCAAACATCAAAAAATTATTAATGACAAAACTCAAACTTCAGAAATATTTAAAAAATATATTTGTATAATTATTTTGCTTGATTTATATTTAATTATAATATTTATACATTTTTTTACTTAATTTCTATTTAATTGTAATTTTTATATCTTAATTTAATTTTATAATAGAAAACATATTTTAAAGATAAAAATATAATTCATAAGTTCTTTATTTTCTAAAAATATAACATAATAATTTTTTTAATTATATAAGATTATAAAAATTATGACATATAATTAAAATTACCTAAAATCATGGAGAACTTAATGAATCAACAAATTCACTTTTTAAATAATTTTTCTTGAGTGATAACTTATATTTGATTAAGAATATATATTTTTCTATTTTACTTTTAAATTATATAATATAAAAGTATATTTTCAAGATAACAACATAATACATAAGAATAACTACAACTTTTTATATCTTAATTTTAAATTTATAATACAAAAATATATTTTCAAAACAACAACTTAATACATAAGAAATATCTTATTTTATAAGAATCTGATACTATTAATATAAATTGGTTTTAAATATATAATAAATTATATATAAAATTATAGAAATTANCATAAGAAATATCTTATTTTATAAGAATCTGATACTATTAATATAAATTGGTTTTAAATATATAATAAATTATATATAAAATTATAGAAATTATGATAAATTAGCAAAATTACTCAAAATCATGGAAATATGACAAATCAGCAAACATCAAATTCACTTCTTAAATAATAGTATAGATGTTTTACATGTTAATTTTAAAAATTTTAATAGAAAAATATATTTTCAAGATAATAATACATAAGAATTAACTTATTTTCTGAAATATAAAATTAATTATTAATAATATAATTTTTATATCTTAATTTTAAGTTTAATAATAGAGAAATATATTTTCAACATAACAACATAAGAATTATCTTTTTAAATTTTATATATGTAAATATATTTCTAGATAATAAGATAATTCTTAAAATATATTTATAGATAACAACATAATTCACAAGAATTATCTTATTTTCTAAAATATGATATATTCACATAAATTTGTTTTATTTATAAATAAATTATATATAATATTATAGATATGATAAATAAACAAAATTACCTAAACTTATGGAGAACATGACAACTAATCAAATTTACTTCTTAAATAATAGTATAGATTTCTTTTCTTTTTGGGCAAAGAGTACAATAATTTATTATGGTGCTGCTGATTATTGAAGGTGGGCCGCAATAGCAACAAGTTTGGCGGGACGAACAGACAACGAGATTAAAAATTATTGGAACACGAATCTCAAGAAACGCCTAAAACAAAAAGGTATCGATCCAATCACTCACAAACCGATTAATCCTACCTCCCAAACCGGTTCAGAACCAAAAATACATAAACTCGGTTCATCCGGTTCCGCGAGGCTTCTTAACCGCGTCGCAAGCAAATACTCGACCGATTCAAACCGGGATTTACTAACCGGGATCATCATAGGAAACTCCACAATCATCGCTGACGAGTCACAAAGCTCCGGTGACGTCGATTTTCCGACCAAGAACAACACGTCGACATCTCCCGGTTTCTCCGACAACTTTTCTTTCTCGGATGAGTTCTTTAGCAACGAAGAGATCTCTGATAACGTTGGCCTTATGGAAGAGTTAAAGGGTATATTAAGCTACGGCGGTGCCGACGCCGGAGATATCAAAGATTCGCCTGAGGTTAACGTAAATTATGAAATGGATTTTCTTGATTCTTGGAACGAAGAAGATGATTTAGATTTGGACAAGTTTGTAAGTTCGTTAGATTCCAAGATTGGTGTCTTTGTCTGATGAGTCTAAAGCAAAATCAATTACACGTTGGTTTACTACTTCTGTAATAGATTGATGTATCGTGCCATAGGCCACGAGGCGGGGATAATATGAATTAATAACAAAATAATCATGTCTCTTTATTACTCGAGTTCTTTTTTCACAAAAACCTATTTAAACATTCTATAAAACTTCAAGATCTTTTTAATTAATTGAAAGATATATATGAATTTGTATTGTTTATGAAAAAATTGAACAAGAAAAAAACGTGTTATTTCTCTACATACATTGTCTGTATTCAACTTTTTTAATTATTTGAAAGATACAAATGAATTAAAGGTTGTACTTCTCTACATACATTGTCTTTAAGAACAAAATGGTACAAAGACAACACCTATATACCTAAATGTTGTTTGTTACACTTGCTAAATAAATTATTATGAAAAATATACGAAATAGAAGTTGAACTAATATTATAGTTTTAAATTCATTTGTATTATAAATCAGAGGTCCTAAAAAAACCGGTTCTTAACCAAAAAATATATAAAAATAAAAATAAAAAATATCATATCATGAGTTAATAACCTCGAATCAAGAATCTAGGTTAATTATGATCTAAGTGTCTGAAACTAAGGTTATTACTTGTTTAAAAAAATTATATTATCAAAATTTACTTTAAAGAAGTCTGTCTTATTCAAATCAATAATTCAAAAGCGGAACTTATTATTCTAAAATTCTTCTGCTAGACTGCCATATTCCAGAAAAACGTGAATCCCCCATTCCGTTCTGTATATTAAACTCTAAAATGTGCCAAAGGTAACGTGATCGTCTACTACTACTCTTTTAAGGGAAGATTCACGTGAATGCGTAATCTTTGTCCTTTTTTGTACACAATAATATATATTCACTACGTTTCACGCATTAATACGAGTATATGCCTAACACAGCATTCGAGAATCATTATCTTATGCACAGTACCGTTAAATGTATATACAGCGTAAGCTGTCCATATGGAAAACTTCAGTATCTATGACATGCACATCTACCTAGGCCTACACGTCGATTGAGATAATATACTGCTATTGTTAGAAAAACGTTACGTGCAACGTTTTAGCTGATAAACCGGCCGGTATTTTTAAATTATAAATCCATATAGAATCGAATATCAGTTTGGGTGTCGTATATGTCTGGGTACTTAATAAGTTAAAGTTTTTTTTTTTTTTTTAATTAATTATATATATATAAATCAACCCGAGAACGGGAATTTTGGATCCGGTTACAAGTCCAATTCAAACAAAAACTCCTAAGTCAATGTATTACAAAGTTACGTTCACCCACCTACTAAACCCGGTACATTCCGGTAGTCCGATTTCAAAATTCTTAGGACCCGATTGTTGTTCTCGACTGAAAACGATGACCATGGAACTGTGAGGTTCTCCTGTTACCTCGGATGCCGGGAACTCCCATGTCGTCGCCGGTGTAGCTAACTCTCGGGGATCTCTTCGGGACTCATAACTTTCACCAACAATGAACGCGCAGACGCATATAGAAGTAGAAATTAGAGGCTATACCAAGTGAAAAATGCTCCTAACCTGCTGTGCAATTTTTCTATAACTTTAATAAGTTAAAGTTAGTTGAATATCAAAGCATATATATATAGTACATTCATTAATTAGTGTCTGACCAGTTAATCAATCTTTTAATCAGTTGTTAAACTCTCAACCCATCCTGAATCTCCAGCATATATCAAGTTTGGCTACATATACATAACCCTTTGAACACAAGGATACATTACTATCCATCAGAATCTGAAAGGTGCAAATTTATCATATAATATGTCAATGTAGTCATCTTATAGAGATTAGGGTAGGTGTCTTTTTCGATAATCTAATCTGTCCTAACAACTCCCAAATGCCAAATGAACCATTTAATATTTATTGGTATCTTACCCTTTAATTATTGTTCGTACGTAATCCCTCAGTTATCACCTTCAGTACGGTGTTACTATTTCTGTAGATTTTTAAACATGTAAATTTAGCTTTATGAGTTAGAATTTAGGTTAAAAAAAGGAGTTAGAATTTAGGTATGCGACACATTTATTTATCAAAAAACAGTACTTCGTTTTTGTTTTTTTAAAGAAAATCGAAACAATGTATGTAGAGATAACAAATTTTAAAAGTCTATACGAATACTTATAAAAATTCAAATATGTAATCTTATAAACTTATTAAAATCTATATTCACATATCTCAACAAGTTTAGAAGTGTATACTTATGATCAACCTTCCCAATTCTATCTCAAAATGCTATTTTATTAACATATATATTCAAAGAAAATTTAACAAGTTTCTGGTAATGTCTGAATTCTTGTTTTGCTTCACAGAACGTGATGAATAAGGCCCCACTTGCCCCATCTAAATGCATTTTTAAGCTCAGAAAACTGTTGTAAGAAAAGAACAAATTAGTTAGTAAATAAAAGTCGAGAAAAGTTACAGTCTAAAATTTGTAATAATCACTATTTTGTTATTACAAAGTTTCCAAGAAATTAATTTTGCATCTTTAAAACATTTATCTTACTATTTTAGTAAAAATATTTACAATAGGCTTTTATTAAAAATGTTTTTAAATGGTCGAATTTGATTTTATATAAATCTATAGAAATATAAAATATGTTTAATAGCACAATTAATCTACAAAGTTAAAATTTAAACGAATAAAAGATTGTAGGATATATATTTTAAATCTTAGTTTAAAAATTGATCAAGAAATAACTACATTTCATGCTTGAATATCAAAAAGCTCTATCCATGGTTTTTTTGCCCTGTTGAATAATCTTTGAAGTGTAGTATAATTAACTTAATAAATGAATGAAAAAAATGAATGGCATGATGTAAACATTCAAGGCTAGTGTCTAAAATATTGCTTCCAAATTCACATATATTAATCGAGAAGCATTACAACTTTTGAGTGTAACAACGTATGATCAGATTGGTATATCTAGAAAAATAGATTTGTATATCTACATATATACTATACTTCTATTAAATTAAGTATCATATTGATTAATAATGTATAAAATAATCTTTTCCTTTCCTTTCTTAAATAAAAAACCACGGAATTACCTAACATGATTAACATATATATGACAATTAATAATTTTGAATAATAAAAATATGATAATATTTTTTGTATTCTTTATCATTTTTGTTTAGTTTATATTATTAAAAACTTTAAACAATCACATTAACCATATAGTAAAACATCTATTTTTTCTTATATGTTATATTTTGAATTTTTAAAACGACTATAAAATTACTAACACTATTTAAAAGTTTTACAATGAAAATTTTGTGAACAATGATTTTATTTTTTGGTTATAAAAAGAAAAATGATCATAAAATCATATGAATATAAACAATCATTTAATAGATATCCGAATATGGATTCGGTTTTTATTTCTATAATATATATATTATAAATTTTGTAATAGTATACATAGAATTAAGTAAAAAATTATATGTAATTTTATTTTTAGATTATTGTTAATATATTATATATTTTAAAGATCTAAATCTGGATATTATAATTTAAAAAAGATATCCGATATTTGGATATTCGAGAACCCCATATCCAAATAAGAATAGTAAAACTATAGATCCGTCGGATAAGGATCCAAATCATGATATCTTGCAATATCATGGATATTTCATCCATCCAAAATCTAAAATGAACATAAAATAAATAATAATATTTAAACTAATTTATATACATAATGTATTTTTGTAATGTGTGGATCTTAGCCTAGTATATAAATGATATTGGGAATTTCCTAGTATATAAATGATATTTGAAATTTAACAATAATATCTTCTTTTAATAGAAACAAAACATGCACTATTGGTATCTCAATGATTTTAATTCTTGATCTGATTTTGATGTCATTTACTTACATATGCCTCTCCACTTGATTAGGTATAAAGTCCCTCGTTCTTTTTTGTAGAATAATACTCCCTCTGTTTTAATATAAGTGTCACTCTACAGCTATGCACACGGACTAAGGAAACAATTAATTTTACATATTTCCTATATAAAAACACAATTACCCACACACCTAACCATATTTTAACCAATAGAAAAACAAATTACATAATAAAATTAATAAATTTTGCATTGAAAACCGAAAACGACACTTATTTTGTAACACAAAAACTTCTCTACAACGACACTTAATATAAAACGGAGGGAGTAATTAATAGTATGAAGTATATTTAATACATCGTAGTGGTTAGAAGATGTATGTTGTAATCTTGTATTCTTATAGTTGGTTTTAGACGACAATGCGGTTTGATATGACTAAGATGATTTCATTTATGCCTTTACAATGAAAAAGTATATATTGCTTAAAATTCTGATAAAATGAGTTTGTTAGCCATGCTAATTTTTTTATAAATGTTTTTAAATCTATATAAATGATTGATAAAGAATAATGAACATTATAAGACATTGATAATTATTATAATATTTTATTTATGAATATAATGCTTGATATAATTATTTGCAATCATTTATCGTTTTCTATAAAAAGTTATAATTATTATTATATATACTTTTATAAATATAAAATAAAACTGATCAAACATTTTTAAAATTTTGACAGTTAATTATCATAAATAATTATTTGTAATATTATTTAGATTAATTTGACAATTGATATTAATTGGTTTTGCTTTATTTACCTTTATTTTAAATTTAATTAAATAATTAAAACCAATCAAATTATAACATTTTTTTCAAGATTTTGATCAATAATTGATAAGTAAGTAATAGTCATTTAAATGACTTCACAATTAATATATAGGACTATTAATGGTGATGCATGTTTAAGTATGGGTTAAAGTTAACTATGAAAACTTCAGTACTCCAATTAATAGTTGTCCCTACTAAAAGTATATGGTATATTCGAATATACAGCATCAATACATTATCATCATCTGACAAAAGTAAATTGTGCTCAAACTTGTTATATAATATCTAGTTTTAGCATTCTGTGGTAAGAGGTTCCTTTTCTAATAAACCGGTATTAATTTGACTATGCACATGTTTACATCCTTTTATGCGGCTAATTAAAAAAAAACAATCAACGAGACTGGCTTTCTGCTCCAGCTCATCTCCACATGTTACTAATATTGTTTTTCTTCGGTAACACATATGATATTAATACTTACAACTCATGATTAAAACGTGTTTAATGTTAAAACTTTAATGTTGTTAATAAGTGTCGTTGATGTATGTTTTTATGAACGTTGGAAGTGTCTAATTACAAAATATAAAAGTCGTTGATACAAAGTGTCTAACAAAGCAACATGAATAAACGTAATAATAGTACAAAGTATTCGATACAAAATGTCTAACTAAGCAGCATAAATAAATCAAACACTTGACACTGGAAGACTACACTCAAGACTCATCACATGTGACAGTACTATAGGGAGAAGGGTTTGGAGGATCATTAACTTGAGCCACACCTTCAAGCATCTGTGTTACATTTCTCATGTTAGGTCTCTTCCCTGGTTCTTCTTGAATACACCATATCCCTATTTTCACATACCTCTCCACCAAGTCCATATTGTCTATTGCCTCTAAATCATCTTTGATCAGATCTTTCAACCTCCCTTGTCGGAAACAATCATACGCCCAATCGATAAGAATCACATTATCCTCTAGGTCAACAGCTTTCTTGCAGCACACGATTTCCAAAAGCATTACTCCATAGCTATAGACATCTACTTTGGATGTAATGGGACTGTTCCTGAACCACTCTGTCGCCACATAACCTTTTGTTCCGCGGATGTTCGTGAGCGTATGCGTTTGGTTCATCATCAGAAGCTTGGCTAAACCAAAATCCGAGATTCTAGGGTTGTAATACTCATCTAGAAGAATGTTCTGAGGTTTTATATCGCAATGTATGATCTGTTCGCTGCACTCTTCGTGCAGATACAAGATCCCTCTTGCAATCTCCACCGCGATTCGCTTTCTATCTTCCCAGCTAGGTCTTGGACGCTTGAAGAGAAAACCAGCTAACGTCCCATGTGGTAAGAACTCGTAGACGATCAAACGGCTTTGTCCTTCGTCGCAGAAGCCGATTAGCTTCACTAGGTTCCTGTGGTGGATCTGACCAATCACTTTGACCTCGTTCTTGAACTCTTTCTCGGTTTCTTGAGCCACACGGTCTAGTTTCTTGACAGCCACGGTAACTTCTGAATCATTTGAAACTTTTATAACTCCTTTGTAAACTATCCCGAACGCTCCTCTTCCAAGCTCTTCCACGAAATCTCCTGTAGCAACGACGAGCTCTCTGTATGTAAAGACTCTCAGATTCAAGTCAGTAGCTGTAGCAGCACCACTGTATCTTCCTTGGCTAGGTTTCTTTGTAATCTTCTTCTTATTTCTGTTCAGATAAAGTAATATGAAGTTAACCAAAGCTGAAGTTCCAAGCAGAACAGAACAAGTGATGATCAACCAGTCACGGCTTTTGCCTTTTCCTCCAGTATTGGAACCATCCGATGTGAGTTTTCGAATCTTGATGAAAGAATCACTTCCAACGGTCGGAGATCTGTGACCATAAGACAAGGGAAACTTCTTTTTCCAACAAATGTTGTTGAAAACAACCGCAGCACAGAAACAGTCGTTAAGACAAGAAGCTTTACATCTTTCTTCATCATAGTTTGAGTACTTCTTGTAATCACCAGATGCCCAATTAGTCTTCTCCACAGCTACAAGCTCGTAAAGGTTTACATCGGTTTGATTATTCTTTGGTCCACAAGTCTGCATCTCAAAATCTGGCTTGCAATCACCATAGCTATTACTAGGATGATTCAACACAAACCTCTCAGGACATTCACATCTTGGCCTTTGGTTATCTCCTAAAACACATATATTATTAAACCCACAAGCCAAGTTCCCAACCTCGTTAGCAACAAGATCAGGTCCAAAACCTTTAGCGCATATATTCTCAGGTTGAGACCAAGCCCATCGCCACCCACCATCTCCAGCTTTGGGATGATAGTACTGAGCGAAAACACCGTCGAAATGTAGAACAGCACGGTGGTAGAAATCTTTAGAAGATACTGGAACGTGGTCTTGTTTGAGATAGAATCTTGAGTTGTTTCTTTGGAGAACATACATGTAGCCTGACTCGTTGAAAACTAACTGAGTCCCAGGGTTTTGATTCTTTGTGTTACTTGCGTAGTACGCAAAGTATATATCTGAGTCTAAAAGCGTCTCGGGGTTGAGAGTGAGAAGCCGTAGATCTCCATCATTACCTAGACGTAGTCTGAATCTTCCTTTTCTGAAGCTTGTCTCCGTTAGGCGAGATGAGATATTCCTTCCAACTTCTATGCTCTGCATCATCATCAACATCAACCAATAACATACATAAAATGATCAGTTTTAAGCAAAAAAGAAAATACTGATGATCAACACGGCCGGTCCTGAGCATAGACTATTGAAGTATTGGACTTATGGTCTCCAAAAATTTAAGAATTTATATATATAAGGTTCTAAATTTTTAAAAATAAAAATTAAATAAATAAATTACTAAATTATCTATATCGTCCAATTATCTATATCAATTACTAATTACTCGTATTTTATACGTACCATCATATAACTAATCATACATACCATCATATAAATAATAATATATTGTGCTTTCTACTTCTGTTGGAGATCTGTGATGTTTTAGTTAGTGCCATTGCACAGTTTTGATGGAGTTCAAAAACCCCCAAAAGAGGTATACACTAGTAAACATGGGATAAATTATGCTTTGAAAGAGGGAGAGATTGAGTTCAGAATGATTCATGAGTTTCACCTGGCGTTGTTAGCAAAACAGTTATGGAAATTAGTTCAATTCCCAGACTCTCTGGTAGCTCGAGTCTTGAGAGGCCGGTATTATCGACTGAGCTAGCCATTGCGTCAGCTTAGTGTCAGTAGCCCATCGTATGTGTGGACAAGTATATCGGCGGCACGAGAATTACTATTGCTGAGAGTTAGGCAGAAAATTCATTCGGGCTATGAGGTGAAAGTATGAGAGGATACCTGGATTCCTACCATACCAGCAAGACCAGAGTCCTCATCTGCATCGGTTTTGCGTTCGAACATGAGAGTGAGTGATCTTATTAATCATGAAACAAAGAATTGGGATGTGAGCGGGTTGGAGAACTACGTAGATGCTGCTGATATACCACTCATATGGAGTATGGCCATTAGCTCAACATATCGCATGAACACGTATTGTTGGATATTGGGTTGCACAAAATATATTGATGAAGGTGGAGGAGGCTGAAGTTTGTGAACCTAGTATTACAAAACTCCAAGCACATGCTTGGAAGGTCAAGACTCCCCAGTCGATGTGCCATCTTATGTGGCAAATAATAACTGGTCATGTGACTATTAAAAATGCTTTAAACTTAGACACATGAGATAAGATAACCACTGTCCACGTTGTGGGGAACCAGAAGAATCATTTACATGCAATATTTCACTGTCCACCGGCAATTCAAGTTTGGGCCTTATCTAATACGCCTACCAGCCCAACCTTGTTTCCATTAAAGAGCACATATGCGAACATAGATTACCTCTTCTGGAGGAAAATTGCAATAATGGAACCGTAATTGGACAGGGATCCCTATCCTAGCTAATATGGTATATTTGGAAGGCTCAAAACCATAAGCTTTTCAAATGAATTGATAGAGATCCATTGGAGTTAGCCCGTTATGCAGAGGGTTAGTGCCAAGCTTGGTTCCAAACCAATGAACATATTACATCGCCATCTCAAGGAAACATAGATGTTGAAATCCAGGTCAAGTCTGGGAAATATTTGTATGGTGGATGGCTCTTGGACCTCTATAGCTCAGTTAAGTTTGGAATGACAATATGGGAAATAGCTAGTTCATGGGTATGCGCAATTTTAATAGAGTGGAATCTGTTTTCCACTCGGAGCTGGAAGCACTGCGGTGGACATTGGAGAATATACTTCAACATTTATCATGTCAGAGCTTTGGGACTGACTGCAAGGAGATGATAATGATGCTCAGACATCCTCAGGACTGGCCAAGGTTTTCGACGGAATTGGAAAAGCTCATGATGTTGCGGATTTGCTTCCCAGACTTTAAGTTTTTCTATGTTCCTAGGACACAGAACGGGTTTTTCTGATTCCTTAGCTAAGAATGCTTAAACCTTTTCTCGAGAACTTATGTATGTTGGTTGTTCTATTCCGGTCTGGTTACCCAGATCACCTCAAGTTTGAATAATAGTTCAACCATTTGATGTAAAAAATAAATAATAATAATAATATATATTATATTTTTAAAATTGAATGTAAAATATAAAACCATAATTCAAGTTGGTGTTTGAAATTGGGCTTTATATTATATTTTCTTATATGTATTTAAAACATTTTTATAATAGTTATTAGAATATATGTATATTTTTAAATAATTTTTGATATAAATCAATTTTAAATTAATATTTTGATTTGAAATATGTATATAAAATTTAAATTTTGTTTTTTGATTATTTTAGGAAAGAGATGTTTTTAGATAATTAGACTGAATCATTTTCGTATATTTTAAAGCTGGTCCATATATATAATTTCTTATAATATAATGGGCTAGCAATTTTTCTAAATAACATAAGCCCAATATTTTTTTCTTAATATATCGTTATCCATATTTTTTAACAATATTATATATATTTTTTTGTTACTACTATTTATGTTTCCAAACATTTTATAAATGTACTTCTACTTCAATAATAGATAAGTTTACAATCTCTTATACATTTGTAAACAAAATAAAACATTCTATATGTTCTGACTTAATTATGAAAATTTCATAAGTAACACTTTTAATTTTTTTTTGTCACAAAATAACATTCAAAGAGAAATAATTATCAATTATTAACCAATAAAAATATTAAATTATTCTACATCATTAATCCTAGTTTCACCCTCTAAATCTTAAACCCTAGACTATAATCACTAAACCTAATTGTATAAATATATCTTTTTTACTTTTTAATGAATGCTATTTTAAGAATTTTTTTTCCAGATGTGCTATTTTAAAACAAAAATTTGTTTTTGTGCTATTTAAGAGTATTTCTCTTCTTTTGTTCATCTAACATTTCTAATATAACTTGTAAACACGCAGACAAAAATAAGATGCTATCTTGATTCAGCTAGATGTGAATATCTGAGATCGCAAAGCAAAGACTACCTGAGTAGGTAGCAGAGTATCCGTGGGATTTGCGAAGCTAGACCACAAAAACTCGCCGGAATCTTCAGTCCTCTCGCTTAACAAACCGAAGTTTCCAGCGTCATTTATGCGCCCTTGAGAAACAGAGCCATTACTCGGAGCAAATGCAGAATACCAGAGCTGTTGACCTCGAGGGTCAGAAAGAACCAAACCACGATCTGCGGTTAATGTAACCTTCGAACCAGCAGGTACTAGGCCGGTTGTTGTATTGACAGCTTGTGCATGCCAGACGATGGTTTTGTCGGGAATCTTGTCGAACCATATGGAGAGAGTGAAACCATCGTTTGGTTGAATCTTGCGGAACCCGAAAGCAAAGTCACCGGAAGGGGAACGCCATGAGCTAGAGAATTGTTGGGACTCTGAAGCTGTGAGAGATTCTCCTACAGGAATAGATCCATTTATGATGTTCTGAGGTGAAACAAAGAGTGTTTGTAGTTGCAGAAACAGAAAAAGATAAATCATTGAACAAGTGAGGAATCTCATTTTTTTTCTGAGGCAAAGATCATGAGATTATACGTAGAGGAAGCCTATTTTAGTGAAGTTAATATAACGAGATTTTAGTATTATTATATGGTTTTAAGTTGATTTGGTCGTTACTACTGAGCACAGAAAGACTTCTTGAATGTTTTTTTTTTGGCTCTGAGTCAATGGAGTAGATTTTAAAGAGTCAACGGATCTTTTTTTCTCCATATAACTCTGAATATGTGCTGCTTTATAGTCTTTTAACGTGTGGAATAAATAGCGTACAAGTATGTGGTTATTGTCTGTTCCATTTCTCTGAATATGTGCTCTATAGTCGTTTGAAAAGAAATTTCTCAATTTTAAACGTAAATTGACTTTTGATTCCTTACATTTTTATTATTAATCTGGATATCCTGGACCTATGGAAAATGCTGCAATTCATAGATAGACTTTTTTTTCCCAATATTCAAATAGACCAAAAACTAAGATCCAGTTTAGAATAATGTGATTTAATTTGACGCATCGGATGAATTGAACCTTAAACATATTGGTGTCCCAAATCTCTTTTTTTACCATTCGACCACAAGATCTCAGCACAACGTTTGGTTTTTGATCAGCCAAAAAAGGTTATTTTTATTAAATCCAAGTTAAACTAATCCTAATGGTTTATGGAGAAGTCAATACTTTTACCAACCATTATTGATATAATATTGAAAGCTATAAGTCATGATCTTTCATATTTACTATTTTCCCACATGTAAATATTTAGTAGGTTAATATTATATAATACTAAATAAAGAATTCGTATGAAGTCATACGGAGACTTATTTTATAAAAATAAATATACCCTATTTTATATAACTTATATTTTTATAAAAATGTTTTTTTTCAACAAAGTCTTTTTAAGATATGTACAATGTAGATTACATGTGTCTATATTTATTTATAGATGCTATTCAATTTTTATACTAGTTTTATAATTTCAGATTATAAATCAATTTAATATGCCAATACTAATTGAAATATATATATATATATATATATCTTATTATTATTTTGTAAGTTACTTGAAATTATAAATACAATTTAATATATTCAAAACTAATTAAAAGAAGCAAAACACATTGAAACCTAATTATTTACTAAACTAATAAGATGAATTATAATGATGAGTATGCCATTCATAATTTATTAGAAGCCATGTAAAATTATACTTATAGTCAAAATATGATTATATGGAATCGTTAAGAAATCTTCTCCATTAACATGTTCTTTTTGGTAAGTTACACATGTATTTTTTTCTCTTATTTGTATCTTTTATAAAATTATATTTTTCATATGTCAATGTTGGATGCAGCTATGCAGCTATGAAATCTATATTTTCTATAGAATTTTGGACAACTCAGAGATTAAAATTCTTTGATATTCATCATATAAATGCTATTTGTACTTAAGTTTAGTCTCTTTAATGTTCTTTAAAATATCTAACCACAATGTATCCAAAATTTATTTTTATGGTACATGGGTATCAGTTATAATTTTCTAATGAGTAATTTAATAAAAATTTATATACCACATTAATCAAATAACTAAATCCTATGAAATCTCTTTATTCTAGAGAAATTGGTACAACAAAGGTGTCAGACATCATTGATCTTCATCATATATATGTGATGGATGCTCTATGCATTAAAAGAAAAATACTATATTTTCTACTTTATTTTGAAATATGTGAGTTAACCCCTACAAAAAGATTGAGTTTTCTGATAAATGCTATATAATGAAGTGTAAACTTTTTCATGTTGACCCAAAAACTACCTAATCACATTATACATTTATATTAATTTATGTTAAATTTATTTTCATGGTACATGAGTATTGTTTTTAATATTTTAATGAGTAATTTAATAAAACTTCACATCCCACCTAATTCAGTGGACTAAAACCTATATAATCTGTAATTTCTGGAGAAACATGAACAAATAAAGTCCCGGACCTCTTTAATTTTTCTCACATGTCATTTCATAAATAAAATTATGCATTAAAACAGAATACCATATTTTTTAATTTATATTACAAAAAGATCGAGTTTTTTTCCAATAAATGTTATATATACTAAAGTTTAGCCTCATTAATGTTATTTTAAATAAGAAACTACACTCTAATGCATATTAATGTATGCTAAAGATATTTTCATGGTACATGTGCATAATTTATAATTTTCCAACGAATAATTTCTTTAAACTTTATATACGATCTAATTAGTGAACTAACTCCTATAAAATCTCTATTTTCCAGAGAAATGAGAATACCTAACGTCTCAAACATCTTTAATCTTTCTACTATGTCAGTGCATGATACAACTATGCATTAAAAATAAATGTTTTGGTAAAACATATATGTTTTTACAAATATAATAAATAAGTTTATGTAAAAAAGTATATGTTGCTTTTTTATAATTTGATATATATATATATATATATATATTGAATAGTGGTATATGAGTATTAATATATTTTAAGAGATTCAGCACAAATAAATATTTATATAGAAAATTCACATTAATGCTAATATATAAGTTAATTGGCATTACCATATTTTAATACATTTTCAAAAATATAAAATTTTACATGAAAAATTGTACATGTCACTGGATTAGTGCAATGTTATATTTTTAAAGATATATCATTTTTTTTGTCTAAAAAATGTGGTTTCACCTTTTTGACGGGAATCCATACATTATAAATAGTCTTTTCCACCATTGTGAGTTGAACCTAAGTGGCGGAAATAACAGCCGCAAGCTTTTTATCACTAAGCTAATTCAACGTTGGTTATATCAATATTTTTTTGTTAAAATTGGATTTGATGATGATAGATATGTAAATATTTCACAAATAGTGGGGATTCAACTTTTTTTTTTTTTTGGGCAAACAAATAGTGGGGATTCAACTTACCACCCATTTTTAATATAAAATGTATACAATGGACCCCGTGGTCTTGAGGCCTCTTCTAAGTTGTAGTGAATTTGTGTGCCAAAAAAAACTGTATAAAAAATATGCTATAGTTTGCATGACAACTTTTCCTTTTCTCAACCCAAAATCATAATAATCATGTGAGCCACGCGGTACCTTGCCGTGACAACCTTATGCTTATGCACCTCCATAATGAGCAGATTTACAATAACGGTAAATTCATAAACCTAGTGAGCACATTTACGAATTACAGGATATTGATATAGTATTTGCTTTCGCGCATTTATGCCATTGTAAAATAAAAAGTATCAATTAGGTTTTAATTTTATTTTTTCTTCTCAAAAAAATAAAAAGTATCAATACACCATCATTCATCAGAAATCATCACAAAGTTACGGATCTTTGTTCTCAAGCATATTGATATAGTATTGCTTTCGCGCATTTATGCGATTGTAAAATGAAAAGTATCAATACATCATTATTCATCAGAAATCATCACAAAGCTACGGATCTTTGTTCATCAGCAATGGTATATGGTAGTTGAGATCTACAAATATAATATAATATTCTTATTTAATTATATTCTATATATTTTTTAGTCATAAGATCCTTAGAATATTACCATGAGTAGAAGTATTTCATGGAAAGATTTGAGTTCCTAAAAAAAGAATCAATTATTCACTCTCTATCTTTCTTTTTACTTTTTATTTCTTTTCTACAATTTAATTCATGAAAAACTCATTCAACACTGCTCCTGCTCTAAGACCCAATGAATCTAGTGATAGGGTACGTACGTCTTGACATGGTGGTTCCATCGTTAGACTAAAATCATAGATTAGCTAAAAATATATCAGTATTAAAAGTAAGTAAAATCACCAAAACGTTGTAATATATTATGAGAACATTAACCATTACTTATCTTATCATATGTATAAATATATCGATAATTCTACTCATTCGTCGTCCCACGTAACATCCAAGCTGGAAGAAGAGAGTTTGGTTCCGTCAACGACGATGCACCTCCGTCCTCTCCTCCAACTCTCCCCACAAAGACATCTCTGTCCATTTAGTAATTAATTAGTCAGAGCTAAATATGTATATTAGACAATTAATCAAACTCTAAATCTATTTCGGAATACTACTGAAAGAGAGACGAGACCTGGATGAGGTTAAGCAGTATTGGGGTTGAAGAACCGAAGAAGTGTTAGAGCATTGGACTAATTGTCCTTCCTGCTGACTCGTTTTCTTCTCCCTCTCCTTAATCTATCATATCATAATTTTGTTATTGTTGATGCAGATGCACAAATTGTATGTTCTGTTTTGAACTTTAATATAAATAAAATGTTTTATATGTTTTTTTTTTAAAGTAGTAAAAATAATTGTTTGATGACAAGAAAAATATAAGTACAAAAATAACCACTTGAAGTTTTAATAATAAAATTATATATCTACTTAGATCTATATGCCAAAAGACCAAAAAAAAACAAAAAATATATATATATATATGTGTATATACAACTAATCTGCGTCTAGTTGGCTGCATCAAAAATGACAACCGGATATTCCTTATTAACGCCTCTATAGCTTAGCTTTTAAACCCTGATTATTATAAGAAACACTACTAATATGTATATAAATAATCATCATTTATAATGCTGCAAGAACAGTAACCTTTAAAAAAATGTGCATTGTTAACACTACTACGAGTCTAAGATATATAGTGTACACTGCTCTTCTTTTATATTATCTATATCAAGTTTTGCAAATGTTTTTTGAATAATTGTAATATAAAAGTTTGTAGAGAATTCTATAGTAAATTAATCTAATTACACACATATCAATGTATATATATATATATTTTTTTATGTTATAATATATCTTCGAAATATTTTTTACTGTAAAATTTGATAATATGACATACTTGTGTAGCTTATTTCATTTCCAATTTAAATCACTATACTAACCTTTTTGAGAAGCATATTATTGTGATCCTGCAAGGCCTTATCCTGATACATTTGAATAAAAAAATATATAAGTTTTAAACAAAATTAATTCCTTTCGATGTAATTAATTACTACACCTTACCTTCTTCTGGAGAGCTGATATGGATTCAAACATAGCTTGGTTCTGCAAATATTACAAATTCATTAACAAAGACCATCATAAATTTCGACTTCATTTTGACCAAAAAGAACAATTTCATCTAATTCAAAGCCAAAATTAACTTTTTGATCTGAAACTTTGCATTCATGTGTAGCCGTAACGATCTCATCTTACCTTTCTTGACCTAATGGTCTTGATAGCAGCGTGGAGCTGATGCTCCAAGCTTTGAAGCTCTTTTAAGCTCAACGATTCAAGATCTTCCCCCATAAAGTTCCTGCACATTTACTAATTTTTTGACTACTGATTATATAAGCATTATACTTTTTTATCGTTACCTTTCTACCTAAGTAATATTATGCCTAAGTATTATGATCAAATTTACTTTCAGAAAATAAACATAGCGAGTGTCAAATACATAAATAGCAAGTTCTTAGATTACTGAATATTAGTAGAAGATCTCCAAAATGACGAGATCTTGAATCAAGGAGTACTTGTTTTTAGTTTTTGCTAACTATAAGTACTTGTTGTTATAAGTTATGAGACATAACAAAGTCATATATCACATAATGCTCTCGCTCTTAAGTTATTGTTATGTACTAGTATTTATGTTTAGCGAAAAGGACAATAAGGAAGGAAGTTGGATACATTAGAACTTAGAAGTTTTGTTCAGCCCAAACTCTAGTGACTTGGGATAATTAAGTTGTATATAAAGTACGTTTAATTATTTTTTAAAAAAGGTACTTTTTATTACGATTTGACGAGCACGCAGTTTGTGAAGCAATCTTAATTTGACAATATGCACTAGAAGATAATATAAGTACCTTTTGTTTTTCTCAAGTACCTCAACTCTTGCCTTGAGCTTAGCATGTTCAAGAACCCAATTTTCCTACAACATTGGTTAGATTAGATGATAGACACTAGTTACTACAACAAAGGTGCAGTAAAACTAATGAACATAAACAGCTAGATGTAAAATCAAATCTTAAAACTTACACTCTGTGAAATGTCTCGGCCGACAAGTTGTTTGTCTGAATACAAATAGCGATCATACCGTTCAAGTATCCTTTCCATGCTAAATTTCAGAATATTAAAAATAAATTTTAATTTACTTAATTAATTTGAACCATATATATCAGATTATAATCTCACACGTTGTAATGTGCAACATTAATTTGTTACAAAGTGTTAGCCAAAAGTTTACCTTATTTGATATACTGACAAAAGATAGCTAAAAATAAGCATATAACACAAAAATGTATATAAAACCTGGTTTTGAGTCCGCACAACATCATAGAAAACATAGGTGCAAATTCAATATCAAGATTCGAGTTTCCCTATTGACTCGGTTATCAAAGCAATCGGTAAGATCACTATCTGATCGTACAAGAAAACATATATACACATACAAAAACACATTTATATCATCAGTACGAACTTACACATACGTTGAACGTTATCTTATTGTCCAATGGATTATAGGACATACTTGTAAATGCTTTATTTCTATGTTTCAAACTTTCAAATCATCCTTTTCAAATATATGTTAATAATTAAGTGGTATACATGTTATATACTTATGTATAAGCGTACGTTTCTGTGTGCACGTGCTTCTATACATCAAAAGAGGCAATCAAATCGTGAGTATGTGTACTAAAATATCATAATTTTATGCTATTTTCATTCGGGTAAAGCAAGGAAAAATAAACATAAACAGCTTTTTCATGCTTCCGTACGTAAAATCACAAAAAAACCCTAAATTTCTTGAGAACAAACAAATCTACTGTATATATGCTACACAGGGACAAGATTTGATTATGATTGACGATGATCGAGATGGAGACGTACGAGTAAGAAAACAAATCTGATTACAAAAATCAAGAAAACAGATGGATATAGTCGATGTGAATATATAACATATGGTTTATAAGATGAAATTAAAAGAAAATAATTACCAAGAGTCGGTGGAATATTCGAAGAGTTTGCCTTTGGAAGAGAAGACGACAAGAGCAACCTCAGCATCGCAGAGAACAGAGATCTCATGAGCTTTTTTGAGCAAACCAGACCTTCTCTTTGAGAAAGTAACTTGCCTATTGATCTTGTTCTCTATCCTCTTCAGCTGAACCCTACCCCTTCCCATCTCTCTCTTCAAAACCTCAAGAACAAGAGAGAGAGAGAAACGATAACCCTGAAATGACTAAAAGTATTTCTCTCTTTCTTTCTTATCTCTCTCTCTGGGTATCTTTTGTGTTGAATGTGATAATTTCTAAATTTCATTTATTTTATTATTATTTGTGGACTTTTACTAGATTTTCGCGTGGGTCTACAGTGACGTAAGCGTGTGAGCAGTGACACAAGTGATGTGGTATAAATACGGTATGTTGATGTGAATACATAGACAATGATATTTGTTGTAAGAGAGAGAAAAAGCCACATCAAAGAGTGGAAGAGACCAGAGTGGAGATAAAGTCAAGGGCTGTTTGGGAAATAAACCATAGGACTTGTTGTCGAGTTCTCGTAGGCTCTTTTCTTACGTCGTTACAACTTGTTCGTTAGTTCTGTGCCTCGCCCTCCCGTTCCGTTTACGTTGTTTCCGTACTGTACGGAATTTAATGCCATTGTTTTCTTGGTTAAGGATAAGCAAGATCAAGAACTCAGATTTTATTTTTTTTTAACTGAGGCTTACAAGAACTCAGATTTTAATGCGCATTAAAGTAAAAAAAATATTCTCGTATATGATTCCACTGTAAAACTATATATATAAATATGATAAAATAGAGTTTCAAATGCAAATTTTTATTTGGTGATTATATTTATTTATTTGTAACTAAGTGTCTTGCGACACCATGTAGAAAAATAGAAATTTAAAATTTAAGTTATATTTAATAATAAATTTTTTAATTTTAAATTTAATATTTACTTATAGTATTTAATTTTAATTTAGTAGTATGATATACATTTAGTATTAAATAATGTCTAGGGAATGGAATTGCACACAGTCTCTATTTGCCACGGTAATTATATCCCGTAATTATATGTTTCTCTTTGTATCATCAAAAAAGTGGAAGCTAAGGCTGAGTTGACCAACTATTGTCAAATTATAATTAAACTAAAAATGTATATCCTATAGGTTCCTTTGATCTTTTGGACCAAACATGCATATATAACAGAAATAATAATCCATTTAATATATACAATTTTTGTTTTTCTTTTGGAACACGTATACTATTTCTCTTTGACCCAAAAGTAGCCTATTTAACTAGGTCTGATTATCAATAAGACATATATAAACCCATTTAAGAGAATCAATAATGCCTATATAAGGGGTGGATGATAGATGGATTAAAAGTTGTAAAGATCTTTACTAATTAATTTGTATCGTATTATTAAAATATAACAGTGGCTTTTTGACTTTTTATATCAAAACACTAGAGCTATCTTAACAACTAATTTCGTCTCAACGTTTAACCTTTTTCAGTGGTTATCGAATAGGGACCGTGTTCCGATAAGATGTTAACAATACAACATTCATGTCGGTCCCATGACTAATATGTCTCTTACCTAGAGCTGGACACAGATTAAATATCCGGATTTTAGTTTTAATGATATTTGTGATTCTATTCGTATGTTACGGAATCTAATTTTTCAATTTTGCTTGTTTCGAAAAACTACGTATATTATGAAAAATAGATATTAAAAAATAAATAGATATTTGCGGATATTTACAAATATTTATGGACATCTCATCCGTTTTGATTAATATCAATAATTTTTAAAAGTTGATATAAATTTCTTTTTGTACAATATTTTTTTGCATGATATATAAAATAAAAATTAAACAAAAGTAGTGAATCTACATATTTTGTAAAAAAATTAAACTTAGTTAATAATTATTATAACACAAACTTAAGAAAAAAAAAAACTTTATAGAATATTTGTACTCCATACCTAAAACATTTACTATATTTGCATTTCATACCCAATTTCCCCCCAATTTTTTCCCTCCATCTTCACTATTTCCCCACAATTTTAGGCATTTTCTTAATTACTACATTTTCCTTGTATTTTCAGCTAATTCATCCAACTTTATATCGACAATAGGGATATAAGATTAATTCAGAAAGCTATACAATACATGTTTTTTAATCGACCAAAACAAAAAAAAACAATAGCTCAGTGTCATTTTATATCTAGATAAAGAGTTCATTCATGTGTTTTATCTCTCTTTAAGATTAGCCTGAACATTTTTTAGGTTTGGGATACCTTTAGGCAGTGTCGATGCTTAGGGGAAGCATTAGAAGTTTAGGCTTTAGGCTCTATTTTATTCAAATATGTAAATGCCAAAAGTTTTAAGTATTCTATTAGTTTGTAGAGTATTTTTGATAGTCAAGTAAAGTGTTCGATTCCTTCTTTCTCTATTTTTTTTTCTAAATGACCTCTAATAAACAGATTTTAATTTCCAATTTGCTTTCTGGCCTTCATATTTCCGTGACAGGTACTGTCATTAGGTTAATAAAAACAGTTATAGTTTATAAACGAATAAAATAGAATGCAAACTCTTTAAGAATATTGAAAGATATTAATCTATACGATTATATATATACATACGTGTGTTGTACATATACACTAGTTTGTCGGTAACCTGGGTTAAACAAATACTCGCTCAAATCAAATGTATAATTTAAAACTTAAAAGTGTTATAGACTCTATAGTATATACCAAAACTGAACCACGGACGTGAACAAAAAGAAATGGACCACATTTGGGTGTTGATGAGCCCTAATCATCTAAATGGGTGGGTAGTACCTTTACGTATTTAATTTCTCTGAATCGTTATTAACATACATTTGGTTTTCTCCTTAGTACCATATATGTTTGCCCTCTTAGATCAAAACTCTGGATCTTTTTCTCTTCTCATACCTTATGTTAAGTCCACATCTCAAGACCGCATATATTATATCGCACGTTGTCTTGTCAAACTTATATACCAATATATAGTGGACATAAACCTCATATTTTGCGTTATTTATATTTACATCGAATCATCATTTTATGAAATTTGAATTTTTAGACATCAATCTTTAAAAGCGTCTAATTTTACGAACACATGTCAACTTAGGACCATTTTAACATCACGCCTTGTCTTTGTGTGTGTGTGTGACCACACTCGTACATAACATTTCGTGTGCACATATATGGTATGGTGGAAAGTAAACATTTCTACGCCAATATATATTGATATTTATAAAAGTTAATCATAAGGGCCTTCATCATGATAATAACGTACTATTTTTTGGGTGGATCTTTTGAAGGTTATGATTTACCCAAACAAAGATTAAATGTTATATATATGTATCAACTAAATAAACTTAGCACCAAATTTTTATTTAATAACATTGATTGCTTAAAAGAATAAATCGTACACAGAACCTTAGAAGGGTTTATGCAAAAATAGATTAAAAACATTTTATAGTGGCTAGCGATAGTCCAGCAAACTAGCTTTGCATGAGTTGATCGTTGCAAAGAGGAGGGCGGTGATGCCAGGTTTGATAGATTCGATTTTGGATGTCTATGTCGATCGGTATGGAGAGGAGTTGACCTACCGAATTGTACATTTAGAGATGTTATTTTCTCTTATTTTTTCACGCAATAGAAGATAGACTATTGCATGGATATCCAAGCCAAATAGAAGAGATGTGACGGTGTCTCTTGCTAGTCCTGAGTTCCGTTGACGTTTAGAAGTGTTCCCGCTAAGCTAGACTATTTACTGTGTATCTGTAAATATATAGACAAAAAAATAATAACAATTGGTTCCTAGACTTTCAAAAAACAATACAACATATATATAAAAATTGTTCATACAAATGTATTTATAATAATTTATCATATTATTCTTTAGCTATAATCTTAATTTTAATGGTTTATAAATAAATTTAAAGTTTATATAAAATAATCTTTGTTTTCTAATTTTGCCCAAAAGGAAACATCATACCCCCTAATCCCTACCTTCTTCGAAGTTTAACTCTGGGGAGAATCAAAAGTTGACACGTATAACGAATCTAGTGGACTTTTAAACCAGTCGACGGAGGTGATTATGAAGAATAACATCCACCTCAAATGTCTTTAGATATGAAGACGACAAAAAGTACTTTGATTTGTCACTCGAGAAAACCAAAGGAGATATCCATGTGGAGTTTATTGAATTATTGTCCTGGACTCTTGGGTAGGCAAACAAAAAAACTAAATTTTGATTGAGATGATCAGATAACCACTCGTACAAACCATTCCTTTATTTTCAAGCTATTCCTCTGTTTTAAGCGTATTTTTTTTTTTTTTCCTTTCAATTTTCACTTTAGAAATTTTAATTGATTTTGAAAATTTAATGGAGGAAAATGGGTCAATACATATTTAAAGGTTATATAATATGTGTATTAAATAGAATAATAATTTGGCAATGTGCAATTAACGCATGTTGTAGAAACATAATAATTCATACCAGTAACTTTCAATGTAATTTTCATATGTATATACTAGTGAGTAATAGATTAAAAGCGTTCGTGGTAATTAAGAATGAAAGAATAAGATATGACATTTTAGGGTTTGAGCATTATCACTTGTGTGATTTTCCCTTTGAGGAAATAAATCAACGAGTCCTCAATTTTTTTCACCTTCATTAATATAGGCTATATCTATTGGACTAAGTCTATATTAATATACACTTTGATAATCTATACTTTTACATTTTAACATTTCTCCCTTTGTTTGCTTTTAAGAAAATTTGGTAATTTTAGGGTTTAGATGCAAATATGGAGTCGACAGCGCACACAAACTTTTCTAAAGAAACTCTTCACTTTGTCTTATTTTGGATGAGATTCGCTGCCACACAACTAATCAAAACACCCATTTAACACGAGTCCATTATCTTTTCCTATTTGACTTTTCTTCTTTAATGATACTGATACCCATTATATTCTTCATCCAATAATTGTCTTTTGAAATTTACAACTTTGTCTTCTTTTTTTTTTTCCTTCAAATTTTTTGATTTAATTTATTTAATTTCAAACATTATTTTCAATGTCAAGAGGGGATATAATAGACTACTACCCATTTTCGCAGAGGGCAGTGGTATTTTGTGGTCTC